TAGCATTGGCTGGAGAGGGTAGCATTGGCTGGAGAGGGTAGCATTGGCTGGAGAGGGTAGCATTGGCTGGGGAGGGTAGCATTGGTTGGGGAGGGTGTCATGTATTCGCAGTGGAATTGCACATAGCTATTCTCACCAGTGAACATCAACAAGTTCAGTTCAACTATAAATGGAAAATGATCCCTCCACAAGCATTTTATGACCACTTGACTGAACTGTTCATAGTGGCTCAGTGGTTAGCACTGCTGCCTCACAGCGCCAGGGACTTGGGTTCGATTCCATCCTCTAGCGACTGTCTGTGTGGAGTTTGCACATTCCCCCTATGTCTGTCTGGGGGTTTCCTCTGGGTGCTCCAGTTTCCTCCCACACTCCAAAGATGTGCAGGTTGGGTGGACTGCCCGTGCTAAACTGCCCATTTTGTTGAGGGATGTGCAGGCTAGGTGGATTAGCTAGATGGGAAATGCAGGGTTACAGAGATAGGGTAGGAAGATGGGTCTGGGTGGGATGCTGTTTGGACAGTCAATATGGGCTCGATGGGCCAAATGGCCTTCTTCCACACTGTAGAGATTCTATGAGGTGCAGTCAGTTCATTCACAGGATGTGGGTGTCATTGGTTGAACCAGCATCTATCATCCATGCCTAATCGCCTTTACTCTTGGCTGAGGAGCCTCTTTACCTGGCACAGCTAGATCCTTCAAGAACTCTCTGCCTTGGATATAATCTGGTGCTCTGAGTGAACACAGCATTGGATGAAGAACTGAGTGATCAAGGGGGTATCTGCATTGATTTCCTACCTTCAGCCCCAGTGATCCCCTGAAGGGATTCTCCCTCGAACTGTTAATGATACTTATTTGAGAGGGTTTCTGTGCTGAGGTGGTCCCACAGTTGCCCGGAGAGTTGCCTAGTCCAGTGAGACTGCTCAGCAATGAGCTGCCTGCTTGTGGATTCAGGCAGCTCAGAGGCTGTGTCTGGGAAAATTGCAGACAGCTTCCACCATCAGGATTGGGAAAGCTGGGATAATGTGCTAAAAAGTATTAGGAACGTGGGTGAACGTTCCAGATCTAACTGTCAGATCCAGGGCAACAAATATTTTCTAATTAACCTGCTTGGAGATGTTAGTAAACACCTTTGAAGCAAGGTGGGCTTGAACCCAGACCTCCTGGCTCAGAGGTAGGGATGTCATCAAAAGTTTAATTGTCATTGTCAGCAAAGTGAGCTCAAAACAGCACACAGCCATGGGACTTGGACCCTCGACCCTCAGGTTAAAAGTCTGATATGCTACTGACTGAGCTACTGAAGCTCCAAAGATCCAGGCCGATAGCTCCAGCACTACTGATACCATGAATCAACCATGTGTGAGTGAGTGAGTGAGGAAAGTCAAGAACAATCACAATAGTAACCGAGAGTGAGAGATAGTAGGAACTGCCAATGCTGGAGAATCTGAGATAACAAGGTGTAGAGCTGGATGAACACAGCAGGCCAATCAGCATCAGAGGAGCAGGA